CCAGCCCACGTCGGCACACATGGACGCGGGGAGCAGGGCCACGCGGCGAGGGGTGGACGATGGTTTCCCCCTCCCCTGCTCCGCCGGCTCCTGCCCGGCCGCTGGCCACCGGCTCTGATGTTTCCATCATGATCTCACGCCTCGGCCGGGGGTGGGGATCGGGATGGGGAACGCTGGCCTGCGCCTCGCCGGGGGGTGCTGGGGCCCCCCCGGGGCTGCGGGGGAGGCTGCCGGAGTCAGGGTGGGGGCTGCCCCCCCCGCCCTGTGCTTCCCATGCCGGCCGCGTCTTCCCCGCACGCCTGCCCCTGCCTTGCACACGCGTGCATGCAGGCATGTGCGCACGCATGCGGCTCTGCCCCCCAACCCCTCACGGTGTCCCGGCCCCGGGGAGCTGCTGCCCCAGTCACAGGTGGCCGTCCCAGTGTCCCCAGCCCTCCTCCCATCTCCTCCTGGGCACTGGCAGGGCTCCGGCTGCCACGGCCGGCAGCTGCCCGTGCTGGCAGCGGGATGGCCCAGCTCGCCACGGCACGGCACGGCACGGCACAGCCCGGGTCCCAGGGAGGTTGGGCTTGTCCTGGTACCGGGGGCAGCCGGTGTCACACAGCAGCTCAGAGCTGCTGCTGGGTTCTGGGGGGAGAGCAGCAGCGTGGGGAGCCACACGCGTGTGCAAAGCCTCCCATGTGCTGGCACACATGTGGTGTGCCCAGGGCATGCACACGCGGTCAGGGCAGGACACCAGTGCTCCTTGCACGGCTCTGCTGCGCCTCACACGCCCCAGTGTGTGTTTGAGCCCCGTGGGGCTGAGGGGACGTGAGGGGTGTGCATGCACGAGGGATGCGCGCGCACAAGCAGCGTGCGTGCACGGGAGGTGTTACGTGTACGAGGGATGCACAAATGCAGCGTGGGCTGCGCACAGCCCTGCAGCAGGCGTGTGCACACGAGCGTGCACGAGCGAGCCTGGTGGCACGGTGGGGTGGGCGTGCGAGCCAGGGCACGGGCAGCCCTCCCTGACTCTCTCCTCTCCCACCGCAGCCGGCAGCGGCCTGATGGGGAACGCGCCCGCCTCCTCCTTCATGGGGGGCTTCCTGAGCAGCAGTCTGGGCTCGGGGGCACCCAGCCACCCCGCCGGCCCCACCGCCTCCCCCCCGGAGCCGGCTTTCCGCGGGCCCCACTCCGGCACCTCCCAGATCTGGTTCTCGCACTCCCACGAAGGTGAGCGGGCGCCGGGGCAGGGACGGGTGGCAGCACCCCGGGGTGGGTGGGCAGGGTGTCCCTGCAGGGTGGCCGGGATGCGGCTGGGGCTTTGCCCGGTGCCGGTGGGTGACGTCCAGCTGTCGCCCACACGGACGGGGGTTCGGACCTCCCAGGCGCTGGCACACAGGGTGGTCGTGGCAGCCGGCCGGCACGGGCACGTGGTTGGCACCCAGCACGCTTCGGGGTGGCGGCGGGGGGCGCGCGGCCGGCGGCGTGCCCCACAGATCCCCCTGGGCATCCGCAGCGACCAGGCTCAGCCCCTCGCCATCGGCGCTCAGGGCGGACCGGAGAGCCTTGTGCCGGGCTGCAGACTCCCGCCCCATGCCAGGAGCTGGGCTGAGGCCAGGCCAGCTCGTGTCACTGGTGGTGAACCAGGGGCTGCGCCCCCCTCCAGCGGCAGGGACCCCCGTGCTGGGGCAGGCTGCAGCATGGGGACCCCTGGGGCTGCACGTACGGCCTCGGTTAAGCAGATACCCCACGCGGTGGGGAGCGGGGGGCTCCCCGCAGCCCGGTGCTGCCGCTGGCACCCCGCGGCACGCCGGCATCCCTGTCCCCACCTGAGCGGCCGGAGCGAGGGCTGACAGAGTTAAGGAGCGGGGAGGTGGTATTGGCGCGGGGCCCTGGCAGCCAGCCCAGCTGGTAGTTTGACCGGCTGCCAGTTGGCTCCCGGCGTGCCGGGGCCTGCGCAGCGTGCCGGGGGGGGGCCGGGGAGGGCCGGGCAGCGCACGCGGCTCCGGCAG